GCTCATCAAGATATGAGGACCTTCTTTGGCGACAAGTCTGCACCGGCGCTTCCTTCGGGATTTGTGCGAGACCATAGACTCACCGTGCTGCCGAGACAAGTGGTCCATATGGTCTCTACCCCACATTGAACAGGATCTTCGCTTCCTGCGCATCGGTGGGGTTTTATTGAAATACGAATCGCCAGCAACAGCTGATCGATCCCAGTCGAAATTAGAAGCACGTCCTTACCGATATCCGTGGCAATATCGAACGCGTCACCTCTGAAGCGTTCTACGACATTGTTGACAGCTGCGGTGTTCACGTGCTCCTGTGGTGCACCCGTCTCTTGCTCCACTGAGGCCAAGGCGGCGCTCATGCGCATCTCTGTGCGGAAGTCCCACTCGTGGAAGTTATTCACCGTGCCGTCGTAGATGTAGGAGCCACTCTTCGTCCCGGACCGCGTCTGCGCGTCGGTACCCGGCCGATAGCGAGGAGAGTAAAGTGCCATGGCGCAAGGTTCAGTCCCCTAGCGAGGGAAACTGCCAGTGCAGAAAGTAAAGAGAGGTAGTGCGACACTCTCTGACGAGACGTGCGCGCAGTGGTACGATACGGGGATCGCGTGGTAGCTCCGCCCGCTACCTGTGTGATTATGTTGCGTTTTGGCGCAATGGCAAAAAAATGCCCCTAGAGGTCAAACGGCAGCGAGTGGTGCATATACACACGTGGCACACGCGCTATCTCACAATTACCCTGGCGAAGCACCCAACCATGTGCAAGTGTGGGCACCGCAGTTGTGGGCATCGTCTTCTGTGGACCTCCCTGCGCGGCCACGAGGCGCTGCACGGGGCGTGGTAAACGCACGCGAACTTCGCCATTGGGGCCTTCCGTGGAGCTCCCTCTGGGACCTCGAAGCGCTGCACTGGGCGAGGGGATCGCATGCGAACTGCGCCAGTGGGTCCTGCGGTGGAGCTCTCTATGGGGCCACGAACCGCTGTACTGGGCGGGGGGGCCGCATGCGGATTGCGCCACTGGGTCCTTCGGTGGAGCCCCTTGTCTGGGGCCACGAAGCGCTCGCTGCACTGGGCGGGGAACCGCATGCGAACTGCGCCACTGGGACCTTCGGTGGGCCCCCCTGTTGGGCCACGAAACGCTGCACAGGGCGCAGGGACCGCATGCGGACTTCGCCACTGGAACCTTCGGTGGGGCTCGCCCTGGGGCCACGACGCGCAGCACTCACTGGGCGCACGAACCGCATGCGAAGTGCCCTAGTGGGACCGTCGGCGGAGTTCCCTCTGGGGCCACGAAGCGCTGTACTGGGCGGGGGGATCGCATGCGCGCTGCGCCACTGGAACATTCGGTGGAGCTCTCTATGGGGCCACGAAACAATCTACTGGGTGGGGGAGACGCATGCGAGCTGCGCCACTGGGGCCTTCGGTGGAGCTCCCTCTGGGGCGGAGGAGGAAGGCGAGGGAGGAGGGAGGAGGGTCGAGGTGGAAGGGAGGAGACGCGGGGCGCTGTCTCTTCAAAACGAAAACCCAAGACCACAAGATAATTAGGAACAATCTCCGGAGCCGTCGGAAAACATTTGCACTGCCCCTTAAAATTGCACCCCCCCGCCCGCAGGCGCCACCCAAAGGCGTTTCCGTGCGTGCCCGCTCGCACACGGCGCACCCGGGCGCGTTCCGAGGGCGTTCTCGGGCGTGCCTGCACGAACGTGGCGCACTCTGGCACACCTCGAGGGCACTTCCGTGCGTGCCCGCTCGCGCGCGGGCGCGCCGCCGAAAGCGTTTCCGTGCGTACCCGCTTCCACGCGGCGCACTTCTGGCGCGCCCTCGGGGCACTGCCTTGCGCGCCCGCTCGAAGGCGGTGCGTTAAATAACCTGGCGGGGAATGGAGCAGGGATGGGCTCCGCTCCTGGCCCCTATCAGACTGCTGCATTTCAGCGGGGTAGCCCCCGCAATGCGAAAAAATCCGTGCAGGGACTTGTCAAGAGGGAAAGTGGAGGGAGGGCTTGTTGCATCATCGTTGATGCGTCTTGGGCTTAACCTGATCCTCCTCCTGCTCCTTTTCCATTTCCTCCTCTTCCTTCGCCTCCTCCTCCTGCTCCTCCTCCTCCTCCTCCTCCTCTTGCTCCCCCTCCTCCTCCTCCTCCTCCTCCTCCTCCTCCTCCTCATCATCATCCTTCTCCCCTTCATCCTCCTCCTCCTCCTCCTCCTCCTCCTCCTGTGTTTCTTCTCATTGTGTTGTTTCTGCTTATGTTTCTGCTTCTGCTTCTATGATGTGTAGTATGATGATTATTCCTCCTCCTCCTCCCCCCCCTCCTCCTCCGCCTCCCTTTCCCCCTCCCCGTCCCCGTCCCCCCCCCTCCCCTCCCCCTCCCCCCTCCTCCTCCTCCTCCTCCTCCTCCTCCTCCTCCTCCCTCCTCCTCCTCCTCTCCCTCCTCCTCCCCTCCTCCTCCCCCCTCCTCCTCCCCTCCTCCTCTCCTCCTCCTCCTCCTCCTCCTCCTCCTCCTCCTCCTCCGCGTCCTCCTCCGCGTCCTCCTCTTCCCCTCCTCCTCTTCCTCCTCCTCCTCGTCGTCGTCCTCGTCCTCCTCCTCCTCCTCTCCTCCTCCTCCTCTCCTCCTCCTCCTCCTCCTCCTCCTCCGTCTAGCCAACGAGATCGGAGGCCCCGCGCCCCTCTAGAGCAGTGCGGAAGAGGCATTCGGGAAGGTGTCTCGCTCAGCGCCCTCGCGCGGACGACGCGCCCGCAAGTGGCCCCGCGCAGGCCGCACTCCTGGCTGCGAACGCGCGTGGAGCCTGCAACTGCCCCCGCGCAGCTCCCTCGCCGCTCACGTCTCTGCCTCCTCCCGAATGGAGCCCGCTGCCACCGTGGCCGGGCGCTCTCCAGCGGCAGCGAGGTCTCTTGATCCCACGTCGGCTATCGAAGTGAAGACGGACGTTATGTATATATATATATATACATATATATATGTGTATATATATATTCATATATATACATATATATATACATATATCTATATTAAAGTACCCCAGTGCGACCCTACCTAGGAGTTGGAGCCCCTAGGAAAGCAGCATTAGTAGTAACAGTAAAGCTAAGCTAAAGCTAAGTTGAAGCTAAGCTAAAGCTAAGCTAAATCTAAGCTAAAGCTAAGCTAAAGCTAAGCTGAAGCTAAACGAAAGCTAAGCTAAAGCTAAGCTAAACAAACCTAAAGCTAAGCTAAAGCTAAAGCTAAGCTAAAGCTAAGCTGCAGCTAAGCTAAATCTAAGCTAAAGCTAAGCTGGAGCTAAGCTGAAACTAAGCTAAAGCTAACCTAACTCCAAGCTGAAGCTAAGCTAAAGCTAAGCTGAAGCTAAGGTAAATATAAGGTAAAGCTAATATAAGCTAAGCTAAAGCTAAGCTAAAGCTAAGCTGAAGCTAAAGCTAAGCTAAAGCTAAGGTAAAGCTAAGCTGAAGCTAAGCTAAAGCTAAGCTAAAGCTAAGCTAAACTAAAGCTAAGCTAAAGCTAAAGCTAAAGTTAAAGCTCCCAAGGGACTAGGGGAACCGCGGGGCGGATCCTGGGGGAACCGCCCGAAGCGTTTTCCACTGCCCGGCCCTTTAAGCACACCGGGTAATAACCCTTCTAGGCAGAGCCTAGGTGGAAAAAAACATGTATGAGATAAACGAAAATAAAAGACGCTAAAAAAACACAACGAATTTTCTTTTCACAATCACTAGTGCATGTGTTTACACACGCGAATGGTTATCAAATGCTCGTATCCAGAGAGCGGATATCTAGTACAAACGCCATCTTGTTTAGAATGTGCGTTTGCTTTTTCTCCCGGCCCGTGTCTTATTCAGAGGGAACCGCTGTCGACCCTCCGCAGCGTGGGTTCCTGAAAGAGGAATGCGCATAGCGATGGTCATTCCATCCGACGCCCAACTTGGTCGAACTGCAACGACGCCCACTCGCAACACCACCGGGGACTTGCGAAAACACATCCAGGAACGGGCAAATAAAAACCCAATGCAAAACCGCCTCCGATTCCAGCGACGACCTGAACATCAATGGGGCAAGACACATCTAAATTATTGAAGGCAACGGCTGGGCTTGAAATCGACGGGTGAGCCCCTTGGACGCCCGAACTATCCGGATTCAGTGAAGTCTTGGGTAACTCTGGCCTTGGGCCCCCGAAGCATGAACCAATACCTACTCCTGACTGCCCCTAACTCCGATGATCCGAAAGGGTTGGACGTCGGAATGATCCGGGATAACTGTGGTCCGGGAAAAATTCCGCGTGGGCGCCCGAGGCACGAATCTGTAGCTACCCCTGACTGCCCCACATCCTCATGGCTCGGGACTCCGATTCAGACCCTATACCGCCTCCCCCTCTGATATCAAGGAGGGTATGTTGCAGCATCGTTGGTGGGCCTTGGGTTCACATTGGTCTTTTTCCTCCTCTTCCTCCTCCTCCTCCTCCTCCGTCTCCTCCTCCTCCTCGCCCTCCTCCCTCCTCCTCCTCCCATGATAAACAAAAGAAGTGTCCCTAATCCTTGGGGGGGACTTGATTGAGGAAGACATGAACCAAACATCGGGGGGGTACTTTTTTTGGGGGGGGGGCGACTGTGCCAAGCGGATCCACGTGTATGCTCAAGACCACGTCCGTAAAATCTGCGGGCTGGAGACATGGGCCACGAGTCCGTTGTGATACGAGGCTTGGTTGTTGCCTTCTGCTGAATGGCCCCTCCCCCCTGTCTCGCTTCCTTCGGGAGCGGCCAAGAGGGGGGTGTCCAAGAGGGGGGGGTGCAAATCATGACCGGCGGCATGTGCGCGGCCCAGGAGGGGGGGGGGCCAGGGACGTGATGGAATAAGAAGAGGCGCCATGAAATCTGGGGAAATATCATGGCCCCCAGCATGATATCCACCCCCCCCTCGTCATCAGCCCCTCTTTTCCGCCCCCGAGTGGTATGAGGCTTGGTGGTTGCACTCTGCTGAACGGCCCCTCCCCCCTCTGTCTCGCTCCCTCCGCGTGGGCGTGTGGGCCTGGTCGCCCCCGGCGCCCGAGGTCAGCGAGGGCTGCACGGCGGCTCCTCGCGGGGGGCGTGGGCGCGAGCCCGGGCCGGCCGCGTCCGCCCCGGAGGGGCCCGCGGCGGCGACGACGAGGACGAGGACGAGGACGAGGACGACGACGACGACGACGACGGCGGCGGCGGCGGCGACGATGACGTCATCCTCCGCCTCTTCCTCCTCCTCCTCCAGGTATTTTCTTGTGTTTTCTGGTCCGTGTTCAATGCACTGACACGGTTAGTTCTGTCGTGCTGTGCCGTGCCATGTCATGCAATGCTGCGATGCAACGATAGGTAGGTATGTTTGGGATGCCTCTTGGGAGCCGTTTGGGGTGTTCTTGGGGCCTCTTTTTGGGCCTCTTTTGGGCCTCGTGGGGCCTCTCGGGTGCCTCTTGGGCTCTGGAGGGGGAATGTTGGGGCCTCCTGGGGGCCTCTTGGGGCGGACGGCTCGAATTGTCGGTTCGTGTTCCCCCCTCTTGGGCCCTTCTTGGGCGATCTTGGGCGCCTCGTGGGCCGTCTTGGGGCGCTCTTGGGCCGCCTTGGGGCTCTCTTGCGCCGTCGTGGCGTCCTGTTTGGATGCTCGTGGGCCGTGTTGAGCTGATTTCTGGGGCCGCGTGGGCTGTCTTAGACCGTCGGAAGCACGAAACAGCGAGAACATGAAAAACTCCAAAAACCCTCAAGCAAAAACCTACATGTTTCGCCTCTGGGATGTCTCGTGGGACTCGTTTTGGGAGAACCCTGGTCTTCTTGAAGCCCTCTTGGGCTGTCTTCAACCTATGAGTGACCAAATTTGTAACGCTCTTGTGCGGTTTCGGATTCTCTTGGAGCGCTCTCGGGCAGTCGTGGCGCCCTCCTGGACGTCTTTCGGCCCCCTTTCACGCTTCTTTGCGTCCCCGCTGGGCCCGAAACGGCCGGAAGATAAATCAGTGCACTGTGGGGGGCCCGGGCCCCCCGACACATTTGATGAACATGTTTACACACATGCATACATACATATGTATATATACACATATGTTCAGATATAAGACGAAGATTCCTCCTCATTCTCCTGCTCATTCTCCTCCCACTACCTCCTCATCCTCCTACCTCTTCGTACCTCATCCTGCTGTTTCCTCCTCCTCCTTTTCCTCCTCCTCCCCCTCGTCCTCCTCCTCTTCCCCCTCCTCCTCTTCCCCCTCGTCCTCCTCGTCCTCCTCCTCCTCCTCCTTCACCTCCTCCTCCTCCTCCTCCTCCTCCTCCTCCTCCTCCTCCTCCTCCTCTTCGTACCTCATCCTGCTGCCTCCTCCTCCTTTTCCTCCTCATTGGCCAATTGCCAGCCGCGGACACGGCGGACCCGCTGGCTCTCGGGCCGGCGGGGGCTGCCCTGGGCCCCGCCCGCGCGTGGCAGCGCACCCTTCTGTACACCGCCCTGGCAGGCTCGACCCGCTCCCGCCTCGTGCATGGCCGCGGCGTCCTCGCGGCAGCCTGCGCCGCTGCGGAGTTGCCGGGCCGTGGCTTGGCGCAGTGCCACGGGCAGCTCCGCCCCCCCAGCGTTGGCATATATGGCGCTGCAGACCGCCTCGGCCCTGGCCTCCTCAACCAGCTGAGCCTGGTCGCGCGCCAGCTGGCGGAGATGGCGCAAGGCGGCCTTGCCGTGCGGCGTTCGCGCCTCAAGTGCCATACCTTGGAAGCAGGTCATCCATACCTGCATTCCCACCTTCAATTCCAAACGCATCCGCATCCCCAGCATCATTGTCATGTTTGCATTAGCATTATCATCATCCTGATAACCACCACCGCCACCACCATCATCATCAGCAACAATGATCGGCCTTCCTCCCCTTTTCCGCTCATCCTGCTCCCCTTGCTCCTCGCCATCCTCATCATCATCACCATCATCATACGGCGCGCGAGCATCATTTCATCAACACCATCACCATCGGCACCAGCACCAACAACACAATCAGCGTCATCACCATCGTCGCTATCCACATCCTCATCAGCAGCATCGTCATCATCATCCCCCTGTTCCTCCTCCTCCTCCTCCTCCTCCTCCTCCTCCTCCTCCTCCTCCTCCTCCCGCCACTCTTCTCCCATCCATCTCGCTCGCGGTGGGTCGAAGCGCGCGCCGCCTGCCCTCCCGCTGCCTCCTACTCCTCCTCCTGTTCCTGCTTCTCCCCTCTGGCCGAATGCCAGCCGCGGGCGTGGCGGACCCGCTGGCCCTCAGGGGGCTGCCCTGCGCCTGGTCCGCGCGTGGCACCGCCCCGCTCTTTACACCGCCGTGACAGGCTCGACCCGCTCCCGCCTCGTGCATGGCCGCGGCGTCCTCGCGGCAGCCTGCGCCGCTGCGGAGTGGCCAGGCCGTGGCTTGGCGCAGCGCCACGGACAGTTCCGCCCCCCCCCAGCGTTGGCAGAGAGCGCTGCAAACCGCCTCGGCCTTGTCCTCCTCAACCAGCTGCGCCTGGTCGCGCGCCAGCTGGCGGAGATGGCGTAAGGCGGCCTTGCCGTGCGGCCCCCGCATTTCAAGAGCCGAAGGAAGCAGGTCATCCTTCATTTTCCCAAATTATCATTGTCAGCCTCATCGGTATCATCATCGTCGTCATCATCATCATCACCACCACCACCACCATCGTCATCATCACCACCACCACCATCATCATCATCATCATCATCATCATCATCATCATCATCATCACCATCACCATCACCATCACCATCACCATCATCATCATCATCTTCATCGTCATCATCATCAACATCATCATCAGCACCATCATCATCATCACCACCATCATCATCATCAGCAGCAGCATCATCGCTGCCTCATCATCATCAATATCAACATCAGCATCCACATCAGAAACGACATTACAAGCATCCCCATCAGCAGTACCCACACATCATCAATATCAACAACAGCATCACCATTATAAGCATCAGTATCATCATCATCAGCATCATCAGCATCATTATCATCAGCAGCAGCATCATTAGCAGCAGCAGCAGCATCATCATCACCATCTTCATCCTCATCCTCATCCTCATCATCGTTGTCATCGTCGTCGTCCTCATCCTCGGCCTTCCTCCCCTTTCTGCCCCTCGTGCTCATTCTCCTCCTCCTCCTCCTCCTCCTTCTCCTCCTACTCATAATCACCAGCATCATCAGCAGCAGTTTCAAAATCAGCATCATCATCATCAGCATCAGCATCAGCAGCATCATCATCAGCAGCATCACCATCATCACCGTCAGATGCCTCCCCTCCTCATCTTCCTCCCCCTCCTCATCCTCCTCCTCCTCCTCCTCCTCATCATCATCATCATCATCATCATCATCATCATCATCATCATCATCATCATCATCAGTATCAGTATCATCGTATTAATTATCATCATCAGCATCAGCATCAGCATCAGCATCAGCATCAGCATCAGCATCAGCATCAGCATCAGCATCAGCAACATCATCATCATCATCATCATCATCATCATCATCATCATCACCATCATCATCATCATCATTATCATCATCATCATCATCATCATCATCATCATCATCATCATCATCATCATCATCAGCAGAAGCAGCAGCAGCAGCATCACCATCATCATCCTGTTCCTCCCGCTCCTCTTCGCCCCTCCATCTCGCTCACGGTGGGTCGGACCGCGCGCCGCTGGCCCCGTGGTGGGCACGCCAGATTTCGACAGGCCGCTGGCGGCCCGAGAATCCTTTCCCGAGCGCCGCGGGTCCCCCCTCCTCGAGGGTCATCCCTGCGTTCATCTTCCTCCCTCCTCCCCCTCCCCCCCCTCCTCCTCCGAGCCCCCTCCTCCTCTCCTCCTCCTCGATCCTCCTCCTCCTCGATCCCCCTCCCCCTCGATCCTCCTCCTCCCCCCCCTCCTCCTCCTCCCCCCCGCTATGGCCAGGAACCGGCGTGATGCCTCACCGCCGCTCCAACGGAGCGGTCCCCCGCGGGGCGACGCGCAAAAAAAGGGGGCCACTCCCAGGGGGAGGGGGTGCGTCGGCTGGGGCCTCCATAGGTCTGAGCTTCCCCGGGAGCGTCACGGGGACCCGCGCGGGGACGGCGGGCCGAGGCCACGGGCACGGGTTTCTCGGGTCGGGCGAAAGGAGGGGATAGCAAAGGGGGGGGGGATGAGAATCAGCTCACGTAGCTGATTTTCCCGGCGCCTCCCGGCGCCGGGAGGCGCCCATGTATCGAGGAATGGGCCCCTCGGCGGAGCCGAAAACAGCTGCATGCAGCAAATTTCGTACCCCTCCCTTTCCCAATCCCCCCCTTTCGTCCGGCCCGAGTTTCGGGGGGCGTCGAAGAAGTGGGCGTCCAAGAGGGGGGGGCGCAAGTCATGGCCGGCGGCACGTGCGCGGCCCCCGGGGGGGCCGAGGCACGTAGTGAAACAAGGAGGGGCGCCACGAGAGCTGGAGAAATGTCGTGGCCCACGCCATGAGATCCACCCCCCCCCCTGATTATCACCCCCTCCTTCCCGCCCCCGAGGGTTCCAACGCGAGAGCCTCAGGGGACCCTCCCGGAAACCCGAGCCTTGGGTCGGGCATATCCTCCTGCAGGCGGGTGTTGGAAGGAGAGCGCAACATGGTCCGAAAAACCCAGGACTGCTAGAAGGATCGCGTCCCCAGACTCTTGCTTGCCCATGCTTGAACTGTCCTCCTACAGAGGGACGTGCCCGCCTTGACCCGAGCCCCTTCTGTGCCCAGAGCGGTCCTCGCGTCAGCGTCGTGGCTGTACAGTCAAAACGTATAGTAGGGACGCGTGGTAAGGACGCAAGACCCTTGGAGGCCGAAGTTGAAGTACTCCGGCCTGCGAAAATTGCTAGGGACGGGCCGCAGAGGCTGAGGCAGGCAAGGACCAAAGGGTACCCTTGAAAAAGCCGTTTGTCCTTACTATGCGCGTTGACCGTGAGCCAGCCTCTGGCGTGTTGGCTCCGTCGCCGGGGGCCCCTGGGTCTCGGAGCCGGCCGCAGGGCCTTGTGCGGTACAGCAAGGAGGGGCCTTTCCTGCAGGCGGGCTCGACGGGACAGGGACACGCGAGAGGGCACAGGACCCCTCCGAGGGCCACAGTTCCACACGAGTGCAGGAAGCACGGGTCGCGAGACACAGGACACGAGGCTACCCTTGGCTTGGCAGGGTCGGCCTACTATATCTGGGCCGACTATGCGGCACAGGGAGGGCCCCTCCCGCAAGAGGCCCTCCGCAAGCAAGCCATCCCCTGAGACCCTTCCTCGCCATCGCTCGGACGTCCATTTCGTGTGTTTTTTCGGTTTCGTGCGTGGTTTTTTCGCCAAATGGTCAAGGATGCTCCTCGATGATCCTCGCCGAAGGAAAAAATGATACGTCCGAGCGATGCCAAGCCCCAGGACGTGCGTGGAGTTTGGGTGTGGGAACGTCACGCTGTCCACCGCAAAACCATCGAAACCCAAGAGACCCAGGGGCACCCTGGAGGCAAGCGGGGTATGCCTTGGCATGGGTCTCCACTATACACGCAATGTACGCACGCACGCCGCATCTGTTTCCACACTCTGTCTCGCTCTCTCTCTCTCTCTCTCTCTTTCTCGATCGATCGGTCCTCCTGCACCGCTGGCTGCCTGGAGGGAGCCAACCACCAATGCGAGGTGGCGCTTCAAGGGCATGGCTGCCTGGCGTTTTCAGATGCAGCTGCTGCGGGTTCTTCCAATCGTCTCCCTTCTCCGCATGCTCCTCTTGTTCGGTCTCGGCGAGAATGGTCGGCAATTGCTTGCGAATCGCTTGGAAACTCGTTCTCCCTCGGAGGTCGATGTTCGAACACGTCCCCTTCACGCGACAGCTGCCGCTGCTGCTGGTGAGGTCGCCTTCTCCCTCCTCATGCGTATGCTGTATGCTCGTCAGTATCGCCCTCGTATCCCGCAATCGCCCAGTCAACGGCTTCGCCTTGGAGAAGCAGGATGAGCAGAGAAAGAAGGGAGGAAGGGGGCGGCGGCCCTGCTGGCCCTAACGAAGGGCGCACTGCATGGAGAAATAGAGCAGGGTGGAGCGTGCACAAGAGAAAGCCACAGTGACACACGCAAGCGGATCCCGAATCAGGCCGAGCGTACCCGTCACCGTTCCCAGGCATCCCGTGCGACTCGGGGAATCCGCAGCGCCGCACGTGTCATCTCACGCTGTCCTCTCCTCCACCCTTCTCCTCCTCCTCCTCCCCCTCCTCCTCCTCCTCCTCCTCCTCCTCCACCCTCCCTCCTCAACCCTCCTCCTCCTCCTCCTCCTCCTCCTCCTCCTCCTCCTCCTCCTCCTCCAGCCTCCTCCTCCTCCTCCTCCTCCTCCTCCTCCTCCTCCTCCTCCCACCTCCGCCTCTGCCCTTTCTCGGGCAAACCCCTCACACGCACACTCCGTGACCCTCAGAGGGAACTCCACCAACGCCCCCACAGGGGGTGGGGCCACATGGCGCCAGCCCTCCCACCATGTTGGCACACCCCTCACACGTCTCTAAATCTAAAGAGCCCCAGGGACGCACAAATAAATATACACTAATCCCAGGAGTCCCCATATGTCCCCATATTTTCTGGGTGTTCGTCATCCCCCGCCCTTCCTATGCTTTCCCATACTTTCCTGGGGGTCGACGATTCCTTGTGTCTGTGTGTCGTTTCCCCTCCTGAGTTCCGTGGACCCGTACGGAGCTCGACCCGAGCCCCTGGGGGGTGGGGGGACAAACGGCGTCCCCCCCGCCAATCCCGACGCACATCTCACGAGGACCGCGGCCGCACGAGCAGATCCGCCGCAAGCCCCCCTGGGCCCTCCCGTGTTCGCGGACCCGGCAGAAGCTTCACCGGAAGCCCCCCGAGAGGTGGGGCCACACGGCACGCCCGCGCCCATCCCTCGTCGGCCACCCCCTTCCCGAGGATCGTGGCCCCGTGCCGAAGCAACAGGCTGTGCGGCCACACGGCGTGTCCCCGCTCACTGCTGCCCACCCCTCACGAGCAACGTGTCCCCATAGAGACTTCACGGAAGGCCCCAAGGGGCGCGTCCGCATGCCATGTCTCGGTATGGGGCCCCGCCAAAGGCCCAGAGGCAAGGTCCGCATGGCGCCAGCGCTCCGCCCTCTTCGGCACACCCTCACACACTGCGCGCCCCCCAAAGGGAAGCTTTGCCGAAGGCCCCAGCCCACCGGCAGGGCTCGCTCCGGTGCACCCCTCACTCGCTCCGTGGCCATGCAGGCAGTAGCTCCACCGAAGGCCGCAGTGGTCGCATGGCGTCAGCAGTCCATTACGGCACACACCAGGGCTAAACCTAAACGGTGTTTTTTGCGTTCGTTTTGGTTTCGTTTTCCCTCGCTTTTGTCTCGAATCCGCCTTTACCGCAGAACGAAGTCGAAACGAAAAAAGCCCACGAAATGGCCAAAAACACGGTTTAGGTCCAGCCTTGGCACGCACAACTCACAAGTTCCGTGGCCCCGTAGGGAGCTCCACCGAGGACCGCAACGGCAGCAGTCGCGTGGCGCCTCGGGCCAGCTCGGCACACCCTTCACACGTCTCGCGACCTCAGGGGCAGCTCCACCGTTTCTCTGCTGCACTTCTCATTCCCTTCCACCCTGCTGTCATCCGTCATCGTCCTTTGCATCCACGTCCCAGTTCTCTCGCTCGCCCCTCGCCTTCGTATCGTCTGCCTCGCGCTACTCGCAGCTGCATACGATGGGGTCCTTTGTCGGGGTATGCTGTGTCGGGGCGCGCCAGGCATGACACTGCTTTGCTCGAGTGAGAGTTCCTCGATCCGGTCACATTACGTCTGGCGTGCCATACCGCATGCGGCAAGTAAGCGAGTGTGCATCATGCGACCTGTGACCACCGCAGACCGAATAGCTGCCGACAAGGGCCAAACGGCGCGTCGACCCATCGGTTTGAGAACGACCTCCGTGATGTCAGACTCCACAGACGATATAACACATTTGGCTGGCTGGGCGAACATGCAAGCAGCTTGATCTGTCTCCGCAATGGGAGCTTATAGCATGAACGGTTTAGACTGTCGCGGAGGCCGTTGTGACGATGGGGCTCGGGGGCGGGGTATGATGGTATACTTTTTCAGGCATATATACATATATATATATACATATATATATATATATATACACGATGTGCAACTCCTCAACCGAAAAACTACACTTTGAACACGTGCATGGTCCTGGTGTTCACTCGCTCAAGAAAGCTATGGTCCATGTGTTGAATGAGGCATGCGCCGGTGTGTGGTGCAACCTGTACATCGAATCCACCCCGTCCACCTTGCGCCGTTGCGGGGCCCACCAACCAACCAATAGTGTCGACGAAGTGACGCTCTGTCAACATATCCAGATGATGCAGGATGAGCCAGCGTTAAGTCGGGCCTATCCCCCTACAGGGGGATTTTCGACGAAAATTAAAAAATACCCCAAAAATAATTAAAAACATAGTCCAAACATAGTCTGGGGACTATTTTTTGAGTATGTTTTGATTCTTGGGGTATTGTTGGGGTATTTTTCGTCGAAAGTCCCCCTGTAGGGGGACACGCCCGACTTAAAGCCAGCGCTCTTCGGCATCCACTCACTTGGGCACCCTCTGCCGCCCATGGAACACGGTGAGGAACTGCTCGGCGTCGCAGAACCGTTTTGAGACCCTGGTCGTCTCTGCTCGAGCAGGGACCGACCGTCCCGGCATTTCTATAGTCATACCCTGAAATTTTCTTAGAATCCACAAATTTTCTAAGAACCAAAACGATGTTCTGAGAACATAACCCCGATGTTATAAAACAAGACAGTCCCAACCAGAAATGTTCTCAGAACATTTCCTGGGAACTACAACAGGTTCTTAGAACATTCTTAGGTGGGGCTACAGGCGAGCCGGGACGCTTCGCCACTACTTGATCTGCTGCAAGTTGCCCCTCACCTCGGCCAAGGCCGGCCAGCAGACTGGGAGGTCAATCATCACGACACGCATGCAGCCGCCGAGGATGACGTTGCAGCGTATATTCTCGAGTGCGCGGGCGTTGCCTGGTTGGCTTCCATCCATACCTGATCCACCGCCCGCCCCCCACCCGCCCCATGCGTCTCTGCTTGCCTGCTGCTGCCCTTGCCGTCCCCTTCCCCCTTTCCCCTCCTGCATGTTCGTGTCTGCTCGCCGCGTTTTCTCTCCTCCCCCTTCCTCCTCCTCTTCCTCCTCCTCCTCGCCCTCCGCCTCCGCCTCCTTGTCCGAGTCGTGTCTCGGCCAATCGCCAGACAGCTTCTGACCGCGAATTCCGGATTTGTTGCTTCCGCCTGGACAGCAGCCGCGCCGCTGGAGCGGCCTGGCGATTCGGCGCACGAGGCATGGCTCGACTTCGAGCGAGGACGCCCGGCGGACAGCTTCGGACAGGTGGGTCCTCTTTTCGCCGTCGCCCGCTGGACAGCTTCGCACAGCTACCACCGCGGCACGCTTTTGGCGTGTCGGGTTGACACGTTTGGTGTCGACTGTGGAACCTGTGTGTTACCGCTACCTCTGGCAGACCCTTCGCACGTTTCCTGACCTGATCCACCTTCATCGCAGCGGGCCTGCACGACCAACCTGTTCTCGCCCGCTGGCTCCCACGAGGGTGCACCTCTCACGCACATCTTCACCAATACCTCGGAGAGCATCATCCCATACCCTTCGTAGGCCCTGGAAACGACAAGGCGTTTTCACCGGTTCTGCGGTTTGCCGTTTTTTTTTCTCAGTTCCGGCGCCATTCTTTTCGGGTTCAGTCGCCTGTTCTTCCGGTTCGGGTTCTGGTTCCGGAGCCGTTTTTTTGCAGTTTCCATTGCCCTTGTTTTACCGCCCCGTTTCCAAGAATTGTTGTTCGGAAGCGGTGAAAAAATGGACCTGTCGTTTCTGGGGCCCACTAAGTACGTGTCTACCGCCTCAATGATATTTGGCGTCGACCCCGAAGTAGTCCAACTTGGCACCTGGTAACGTCTGCCTGCACGTGGTGGACGCGGTGACCAGCAGCACCGCTTTGATGG